AGAGAGAGAGAGGGGGGGGGTATTTTCTCAGATTACAGTCTCTTTCTAGTGACAAAATAATTCTGCATTAAGTCATCTTAGTGTGAGAAGTGACTTAGAGCAATAACTCATTCTAGGCTCCGCCAATATTCTTTTTTTGAAGCATCTGAACAAGTGAACAATCAAAACTAGTTTGGGTTTGTTTGTTTTTTTGTTTGTTTTGTTTGCTTGGGTTTTTTTTTACATTAAAAAAGTGAAAGAGCAAAGATTTATTTTAGAGTTACTCACAAATAAAGAACACGATTCTTCTGAGACACGGTAGATGAGCTCAGCATGATGGATGACTCTGTCAAGAAGTTTCTCTTGTGAGATGGAGGGGCAGCGAGTAAGGCTGCCCGGCTCTTCTTTACAGTCTAGTGGCATGCTTACAGTAAGAATATAGGGCCAGAGCAGTAGACCCCACACACCTTGCTGGATGACTGAAGACGCATATGGTATATACAGATGGAACAAACGTTAACAAGTAAAAACAAATATAAGCATTTATATATCAAATATGTTATTTATATATATTTTATACATTTCTATCAATGCAATTACAAAGAAAAGCAGAAAAGAAAATTACAAAAAATTGAGGCTTTTTTTGATACATTACCAGTCATGCCCATTCTATCTGTCGTCTTCAAGTTTTTCTTGCTATTGTGTTATGCTGACTTCTTTATAAAGCCTGATCAGGCCATGAATAAAGAAAAAGACATTTGAGTCTTGCGTAGGTTGTTGTAAAAAGATACCGGTCATCCCAAACCAAGACATTTCTTTTCTCATGCATAATACCGAGATGGGACACATTGTATTCCCAAATAGCTTTGTTCTTCATTTGAATGATGGTGGTTTATAGCTCAAGAAAATCTGATGTCCAGAGTCTTTTTATTTGAATATTTTCTAAAATCAGTGAAAAAAGGCTCTACAACAAACAAGCAAATACAGATACATGTCTGTTGATCAATAATCTGGCAATAAAGACTGATTAGATACATCGAACAAAAGTTGAAAGAGAAGGGAGGTTAAAAAAAATCTTCCTTTTATTATATACAGTATACGCATTAACCCATGCCTGTTTAAATGAGTGCCAGCATAGGCAGGTGTAGAAAACTCCATTGAATGCTACATTTTTCTGTTTTCTTCTACTGCCTGAGACTTTTGCTGCACTACTTACACCTGCCCCTTAAATTACCTCATTTTAACGGTAATCAGATTGTAGGATTACTGGATATGAGTTGCAAACAATTTCTGTAAATAAATTAATCTGTGTATTTTGATTGCATGTGATATAAAATGTTTGAACACATAAGAAATAAAATTATTTATTATTATTCAGTAGATCATAATCATATTTTTAATTTAAAAAATACAGATACAATTAACACTTTAATTAAAGGAGTTTTGGTTTTCCACCACCCAAATCACAGAAATCAAGATGACATTTAAGACACTGTCCTCACATGTTTATTTCCACACAATAGCATGTTTAAGCATAAGCTCAGGAAGAGGTTCGGAAAGTAACATCTGACGGGTGTTAAGTTACTGAATTCAGCGTCACAGACGTGGTTGCTATTCAAGATACCTGGAGCCTCCTTTTATGTATGTGAGCCTGTTTAATATAAACCTCTGTTCTTTTCTTGTCGCCCTTTGTATACACCTCCTCTTTTTCCTTCCCCATTTTTCCCCTCAACATGCTTCCCCGCTTTCTTAAATGCTAGTTGTAACTATTGATAAAAGAAATTTACTACAATCTGTTGGGTACATTAGGTACATTGGGTACAAAAGATTTTAATTTATATGATACTGAATGACAGTTCAACTCATGGCTTTTTGACATCCGGGTACTTTCACTCAGTTTGACATAATTACCCAAAATGAATTTGTGGCCATGTTGCAGAATAAACTTTCACAGATTCACCTTCAATCCAGGGGATCAGAGCTTTGGGGGTGCTGAGCACCCAGAGAGCTGCCCAGCCAGGCAAGATAAACCTGTCTCTGTCAGTCCCTGCATCCTTAAATGTTGTCCC